GTCTAAATACGTGTTTATAACAATAAATACATAGAATTTTCGGATTTATTGGTTTTTGATAAATTTTTAAATTTTTAATGTAATTATTAGAGAACCTTTAACTCGGATTATTAAGTTATAACGGTCTATAACAGAACCAACCCTTGGCATGGCTGCCAAACGTGGCACGCCAATAACTTTTTCTGGCACACAACCAGAGCTCACCTTAAAATATAAATATCCAATATCTTTTTTAATATACAGTAAAATCTCACTAAATCGAACTACGTTAACTCGAAACTATCTACAGATCTCGGGCAGAGCATACAGGATTTTCCATATACGGTCTCGTTAAGTCGAAATTGTCGTTATTTTAACTCGAGCTTATTTTCTCGTGTACCCTCCATCCTTTGATAGGTCGTAATCTTCATTTTCTCTTACATTCTGTGTGTGAATACAGAAGATTAAAATAAACACTATTGCTCTATGCCCAAAATATCAACACTCCATTACATCTTCGCGTCGACATTATTGATACGTGTTACCAGCGCTCTGATTGGAAAACAAGCATACCCTATGAAAACGCCTTCAAAAGCGCCATAAAATGTATAAAATAATCTTGTAATCATGCCAAGAGCAGATTCTTCAGAAATAACTCTTGATATAACACACACACACACACACACACACACACACACACACACACACACACTAGCAATGAGCCCGGCATTGCTTGGGCAAACGATTTGGATGATTTGGTAAATATTGTACGTTTGGAAATTAAGTTATTACTACAACAGTAATCTTCGACAACTATAGTGATTGTTATATAACAAATACCTCTTATTGCTGAGAATCATTTTACTGCTTCGAACGAACGTTTTCAACCTGAACAAATTTTCTGGAACCTTTACAATCGTTCTATAATCGAACCAATATGCAATATCAAATTCGAATTTAAAACGGTTCGAACATTTGGTTAAAAATCAAAATATATAAAAATATTTATAACAATGTTTGAAATGTTATCAATTTAATACACCTAAGTACTCAATAAAACTCAATGAAGACTAAACGTACTTACAAACAAAATAAATCGCATCTAAAATAGTACAGTACAGTAAAAGCAGGGCTGTAAAGTCGGAGTCGCGGAATTTTGGTGTTTTAGCCGGAGTCGGAGTTGTCAAAAAATCCGCCGACTCCTTTTTACTTACCAACTTGTTATGTATATAAAACGGAAAAAGTATTGGAATCGTGTCAAATTTGACCCTCCAAGTTTTTTTTTTTTTGCAAATCTACACGGTGGAGACCTCCCGAACCCCTCAAAAAAGTCAATAAAGGGGAAAAATTCGCGCGCGCGTGTGTGTTGGCGTTTAATTTGTTTAATTTCTTTATTTTCTGTTCTCAGTTATTAAACAATATCTCAGAATGGGTAAAGTTTAAGAAACGAAATGTGGCACTGTAGCTTGCGTATAAAGGAGCATCAATACTATTAAATTTTGGTTCTTAATTAAAGGTCGACAGGATGAAGACATAAAAGGGGTCATGTGTCATATCTCTTAATGAATAGTTTACTCGTTATTAGCGTTCAAAATTAAAAAAAATAAAACTCGTCTCTACCCTCAAAGAAAGCTTTTTTGCCATTTTATAATAGTACAGTAAAACTTGTTAAGATGTTCTCGCCTAAGATGTTAGAATGTATATGGGGACACGATTTAGTTCAACCACTTTGACGCTTAATAACTAACTCGTGTTAAACCATCTGACTCCGATTCTGACCACTCTGACCACAGAAATTATTAGGCTTCAAACATGGTGAACAAAATCATGCCCCCCTCATACAGTCTAACATCCACACATACAGAAAAAAAACCTCAAATCTTTTGCGTATCTCCAAATTTCAAGGTGTCCTGAGCCCAAAAATATAAAAATTTGGGAGGGATCATTTTTTGACCGAGCACTACACTTTTCCTCCGTTATATATAATAACCGGAAAAGTAAAAATGATCGAATACCTATTTATATAGGCCTATTACTTAGAGAAGTCTTTTAGCTTTGGAATAAAACTATATTCCAAAACTAAAAGACATTCTATCTTTATTAGAACTCTATTTATTGAATCTTTTATTCTGAGGTCACGTGATGACATCAGAATTTCCGGGTATCTTTCGGTAACAAGTACGCCCCTGATCGGAGTCGGTAGATTTTTACGCGACTCCACAGCCCTGAGTAGAAGCCTTTATTCAGGTTAAGTCTTAATACTCTCCCTCTCCCCCCGCGGGGGAATTTCGAAATCCCCTCTTAGTGTGCACTTTCATGACGTACCCTAACTGTGTACCAAGTTTCACCTCTAGGTTCAGCGGTTTGCTCTGGGCGATGATAAATCTGTCAGTCAGTCAGACAGTACAAGTAATTGTATATATTTAGATAATTTTTAATACATGAACAGCTGACTCTGGTCAAAAATTGTGACGAACTTTTTAAAAGTTTCCACAGTGAACTTGTATTTTGTCTAAACATTTTATCGTCGAAAATAGTCCGCATTATTATGATATTTAGTTTTGTTCTGGTCTAGAGGATCACAAACAATTGCGAAGTTGGTGGCTTACATAATAGTTTCTCCCGATCCCAATTTAGGCAAGTTCGAAATTACTAAATCAACACGTCAGAGTATATTGTGCATATAACGAAAGAAATGCCTTCTACATAAAGGCATAACTCCAATAAAAAAGCAGAAAATAGTTTTACATCTTACATATATACACTTTAATATACAAAATGTAAATCTAGCTTATAGCTTCATTATATCAGAATTATATGTAGAGTACATATACACTTTTGAATATGATTATTTTATTATGAGAATATGATTGCTTGTTTCTTCACATCAAAGAAAGCACTTTCTGGTAAGTTAAATTAAGTATCTTACTATAAAATATAATTTTTAAAAATACAACTAAATTGGAGAGTTTTTAAATTCCATGAAGTACTCTCCATTTATATTTTAATTATNTTTATTATGAGAATATGATTGCTTGTTTCTTCACATCAAAGAAAGCACTTTCTGGTAAGTTAAATTAAGTATCTTACTATAAAATATAATTTTTAAAAATACAACTAAATTGGAGAGTTTTTAAATTCCATGAAGTACTCTCCATTTATATTTTAATTATTATTTTATAATATTAAATTCATAAATTTATCCAAGTATTACAGAACCTCATAACTTATTCATAACAACATATTTATAAAAATTCAAAGAACAAATTTATTAATTCTTAATAAACAGGAAGCGCTTAATAAATTAAGATCGTATTCTTTTTTGCTAATTCTCTATCGAAAGAGAATTCTTAATAAACAGGAAGCGCTTAATAAATTAAGATCGTATTCTTTTTTGCTAATTCTCTATCGAAAGAGAAAAATTGATTTATTTTCAAAAATCTTCAACGTTAAATTATTTGGTATTAAAAATAAATAAATAAATTCTATCTTTTCCCTCTAATTTCAAAAAACAAAAACATTTTTCTATTCGTTATTAAAGCAATACCGCTACTATAGTGTACTACTTCTAGTTTATGATATTATTATTGATGCTTCTGCTACTGATACTGCTACTATACTACTACCAGTCTGATACTAATACAGTACTAATACTACTACTAATAATAAAGCTATTTTTAAGCTGCTTTCTGTGAAGTTAAATCTTCAAAAATCAACAGAACATAAGTAAAAAAAAACAAGTTTTTCTTTCATTCTAAATAGAAATGGTTATATATATATATATATACAGTATATTTTTCGTTATTTCTAAAATTTCATCAAATCTTTATTGAAAAATATCCTCAAAAACATGTATAGAATTGTATAATATAAAAATAGGATAAAATCTGAAAAATATGAAGTTCTAGTATTATCGCACAAGTTCTGAAAATTTTAATATATTTTTAAAATATATTTAACTTAAAAATATAATAATAATTAATTAAACTTAATGGCAATTTTTAAAAGGAAAGACATCTTAATTTCGTATCTTATAAATAAATAAATAATTCTTCAATTATTAAAAATAAAAATTAAATTCTCAAAAAATCGAACATTTTAAATAATCATTTATATTCACACATTTTAATACTATTTTAGACTTTCATGAGAACCATCCAGCTAAAACCTTTGACGCTTCTTATTAAAAAAAATTATTTTCGATTAAATGAACAAAAAAATAAATTAGAATTTTATTGAAGAAATTTGGAATATATAATTTAAAAGAAAGTTATTTCTTCTACTATATATATATATTTATTTTTATTAATGCAAAAATCTAAAGTGAAAAAGTGAATTCTTTGAAAAATATCAATTTTCCAAAAATTCTAAATTGAAAATACAATAAAATATCGTTACTTAAATTTACGATAATTCATATTTTTCGTTTTGTCTTTTTATGAGAGTAATTCAGTTGAAAAACTATCATTTTGTAAAGTAATCTAAAAATTATTTAGAAATTTTAAAAAATTAAATTGACATTTATACGGTTTTAATAAATTGAAAATATTTTGTATACACATTAAATTAGTTATTTTTAAAATATATTTGAGAAAACAACTTTTATTAATGATTTATTAATAATTAATTATTTACTAAGAGCAGTTTAATAATTCTTTTTAGCACCTTAATCATTAGTACTTGGTACTTAAATATTTCAATAGTAATTTACATTTAAATATTTTTTTATATATTAAAAACAAAGGAGTACTCATTTTTTTCAAAATTAATGAATAATAAAAAGTATTTAAATATAAAAATCATTTTAAAAATTGCAATAAAAAAATAAACTTAAATATCTTAAGTCAGTGATAAGTTAAGATGCAAAAAATATAAACATCCTATTACTTAATTAAAGATTCAAATTAAATTTAATTAGCAAAATTCTATTAATTAATTTGTAGTATTTAAATTTTAATTTATGTTAAAACAGTTAATTAATTTGCTAGCATCAGTGTAATATCTACACCATCATCAAATCAATATTCAGTTTAGAAACCTCAAAACTTTATACTCTTTTTATTTTGTACCTTTACTCCTTTTGCTCTCTGTTTTTACCTTTTAGATGCTTTGATTTCTTTTTAACAGCCATTCTAAAATAAGCAACTTCTTTATATTTATCTTCATTTTATTGTATAAACCGTAAAGACGGTGCATGTTTGTATAAACGAGTGTGTTGTGCAGAAGGAAGGTAGAAAGAGAGAGTAGGCAGAAGCTGACCATCCACCCACATCTTTCACTCTTATTGGTCGATCATTTCTCCATTCCGAAATGATGGTGGGCTATATAAATCAAATGCAATGAAATTTTCATGTACACGCTCTTCTTTTCTCTTAGTGAACTGATTTAATCAGCCTGATCGAAGAAGAGAGCAAGCAGGTACTGTTACCAACTTATCTTCTTTTATATTTAATTATTTTTATACTACTATAATTAAGTTATTGTTATTATTATAAAATTATACTTTAAACGAAAGAAAATATAGCGAACGAGAAAATTAGGATAAAAATTTGCAGAAAATAAAAATAATACTAGTGAAGAGTGTAAACAGGTGCATCGTGTCAGATCGCGTACAACAGGATGTTCTAAATTCACTACTACTATTTCACAGATTTATTTAATACAAAACTAAAAGAAAGTTGTAAAAACTTTTTAATTCTTTTAACTTATTTATATATAAATGAGTTAAAAATTTATTTATGTTTTTAAATAAAACTATTTAGTATCTATTTTACCTTATATAGCTATTCTGAATACTATTCATGTTTCACTTTTTTACAGTAATTTTCGAGTAACTGATACTATATAATTATTATTTAAATTAATTTAAAATCATTAATTAATTTATTTATTTATTCTTAAGAGAATATTGCTTCTATCGAATTCAATTTATCGTTTTAAATGCGAACGCCTTGGAAAAATTGTGAGGAAAATAAACTTTAATTAGTAAATACATTTTTAGATATTTATAATTATCATATTGTTATGTATTGCATTAGCTTAAAAGTTGTTATCTCTAAAATGTTTTCGTTGCGTAATTTATTGTAGTTTTTATTTACAAAGAGAGGAAACAAGAAGGTCAATGATCTTTCATTACATAATAATAAAATTAGAAATCGCATATTATATCTTAACTAAAATACTTTTACACTTAAAAAGACCTTTCTTCGTATCATTTGAAGTCTTTTACTACAAACAGAACATACGTGGATTCATGATATAGTGACGATTTTGTTAGTAGGTTACTTGCTATTCTTTACGTAAACAGTAAACTTTTCATATAGTGAATGATTTAGCTCAGTTCTTCGAGAATTCAAAATAAAGAAATCTATCGTAAACTAGTAAATAATTCGACTTTAATAAAACGAGCCTAAACAAAGTCGTCATCAGTAATTTAAATTTAATAAAAATTTCTATTCATTATAATTTCACCCACAATTATCTAGAAGAAAATAATGAAGTCCACAGTAAATAAATCTGATTATGATATTGCAATTTGACTAGCAATAATAATACATCCCCAAAAAAGATAACTGTATACAGTGGTGCCTCGTATAACGTACGCCTCGAATAACGGACGCTGCGAACCACGGACTTTCTGCGAATAAGTGCGAATGATGTTTCCACTCTTTTGCCGTTGCCAATGACAATCTGCTATTTTTATAATATAGTATTATTAGAATATATTATTAGTATATCTGAAGTACAGAGCTCCTGTTGGAATTCGGCTTGCTCCTTTGTTTATTACATACAGTACATCACCTCAGTGCAGGGTATTTCCATTTATTCAAGTGTTATGCAAATCATGGCTTCTAAAAACAGAAAGATGATTTCAATTGAAACAAAGCAAGAAATCATCAGAAGGAGTGAAAGTTGACAAAAACTTCCCTGTCAATTGAGGAGAGGTTCAGGAGTTTACCAAAACTCATTATCCAAACAGAGCTGAGGCCAACAGGATCAATGATCTCTACAGTGACACCCCTGCCCGTCATTTCTGACAGGTTGTTGAAGAAGAGAGAGAAACAGACCACCTTGGACATGTTTTTCAAGAAGCCAGCTGCCAAAAAACAAAGGATGGAACAAGAGGAGTTGACCCTGCAAGCTCCGGTAGCCTCTCCTGAATCTGACTCCGATTAAAAAACAGTAAAAAGAGATCTGCTGCAATATGTAGAAAGTCTGTATCTGTATGAATGTGTGAAGAAAGTGTTCCTCCACCTCTTCCTCACAACATCTGACTACCCAGCATAATTGGTGACTGCTCCATTTTAATTTTTTTATGGTACGGTTATTTTATGCTGCGGAACGAATTATATTTGTTTTAACATGTATTTCTATGGGAAAATGCGTTTCGTATAACGGACTTTTCACTTAACGGACATGCACCTGGAACGGATTACGTTATACGAGACACCACTGTATATATTAAATATATACTGTATATAAATATGCACATTATAAAATAGACGCACACCACAAAGAAGAATTACTAATAACTTCCGTTTCCGATGACGAATCGCCCTAAAAATCAACATTGCTCATCACATAAGTGACGAATTTTAGATAATAAAATAATTAATGCATTGTAGCTAAAAAACAGTTTAATGAATGCTATACTGTTGGTAGCGCACACGCAAGTATTAAACGTTAAAGTATTTAAATTATCTTTACATTATTTCAAGAAATTTTATTATAAAAACAAACGTAATTTTCTGTGAAGTTAGAGGGCCGTACAAAGAATGGAATCAGAAAACTTCTTCAAACATCGACTTATTTGAGCCTGGTTCAAAGCTGCGCCCACGCGAACCGCTGTTCGTACGACTAGCGAAGAAACGTCCGTTACATACATATGAATTGAATCTCAAATAAAAGCAAGAGTCAGGCGAAAGAAGTTGCACACAACGACTTTAATGCTAATAAATAGTCTGCAAATTTGTTATTTCAGAAAATAAATGGTGAAATTGTATTTATAACTGAATAGAGGTTCCAAAAAGATGCGTAATGTTTAAAGACAAATCATCCATAATCTCGATCTAAAAAATTCTCTAACAACACTACTATAAACCAACATACTTAATTTATTTAGTTTTGTAAAATTTTAAATCAATTTTGTATTTAAATAAATAAAAACAAAATAATAAGACTTTAAAAATTTGGTCTCAATCAATATATTTTCGATTTGAAAGCACGTTATAATTACCTAGCTGTGCCAATACTTATGCTTGCTATAATCAGTATTAATTAATATAATAAATATTTATTACACTGATTATTGCTTTAATATTAATGTAATAAACATATTTGCTTTTGAGAGCCGACAACGTATAACAAATTGCACATCATCGAAATATTCCAAGGGATTGCTTAGATCCAATATACAGTTTCGAAAATTACTGAACCGATTAACTAACTTGCTCGGTAATACCGTCCCGTCTTTTTGTACAGTTCTTTCCTCGTTAAATAATGAAAATATTTCATCACTGTTAAATCCGATGGCCATATTGACTTTGGAACCGCGATTCACAGACCAAAAACTGCTTTTGTAGGTGGTTACAAACGTCTAGACTTTAAACTCCAAGCAAGTATTAATATCAATTTCTTCCGTACCGTGGCACATACTTCATGACGTCAGCCTTTTCGCCTGAGCCGGAAGAGTAAAACTAGGGCGTTTATCATTGTTTATCACACTGTCAACGTTAAGGAACTACGTTAAATAAAATGGAATGTAGTAAATGTGGTTTAAAATATAGTCATAAACAAATTTTAAACAGGCATATTAAGGCAAGCAAGCACATAACGGGAGGCAACGGCAGTGACAAAAATATTAAAGTATTTAAGTGCAGATTGTGTTTATCTATGTATCATAAAAAAGTAGTTTTTTAATATTTATGTTCCCAATATCAATATATTGTTCTATTAGAGACAGTATATCTAGCATATATTGATAAAATTAAAATATGGGGTATAGCCTATATACCCAGGGTGGCCAAGCTCCTTGATAGTCCGAGCCATATTTCAAAATTTGATATTTTTCGCGAGCCGTAATTAAATACGTATTAAAAAGGTGTGCAAAAAATTCCAGATTACAAATTATATCCGTAGCAAGAGTGATACAAATTGTTTCCTCCAGAGCACAATGTCAACTGTCCGTTGCAATGACAGTTTACAAATTCAAAATCGGTCTGGAGTCGGTCGATAACGGATGATTACGCCACTGTTTATGTTCGTTTGCGCAGTTTTCGATGAGTCATATCATTCTTAACTTGGACAGAAATGAAATTTGTTACAACGTTGCACTTAGTCTTTCATATTTGTTGTTAGTAATTTAAAAGACATTTTGAAACACATACGGAACGATAATAATTTTTTAAAATAT